GGTAACTGCTGTAGTCAATAATTTTTTAAACACCTAATATATAAATTTATTTTAAATGATGATTTTTTTGTACAGTTAAAATGTGAATGAAATCTCTTCTGCATTCAATGTAATTATGCAGGCACATACTTCTTCGTTAGGATTTAGGCCACAAATCAATTCATTTTCTGTATTTGAATTTATTGTTATTCCTATAAGGTAATTTCTCAGAAATATTAAATAATTTATCAAGACACACAGAGTAAGCTCAAGTTAAAAGAGACTCACATTCTAACTATTAAAGCCTAATAAATGAAATACATTAAAATATAAAAGTATAGATATCAAAAATGCTAAAATTCTTAAATTTTGTTCATGGTAAGAGCTTAATTTAATATGGCATTGTAGTAAAATTAACTAATAATATCTAAATCTAAAAGTACCTTGCTTCTCCTTATTGAATTATACAGTCCAGGCTTGAACAAAGTAATCATGCATTTAAATTCCTACACCTGTAAATAATTTCAGACTTAAGAGTAAATTTAGTGAGGATGCTAGACAATATACACTATGTACTAAAATACGTCTTTTTCTTCTACTCTTTTTGATTATCAGGAAGGTCTCTGTTACAAAAGGTTAACAAGAGAAAAGCATAAAAATTTAAAAGTTTTACGTAACACAAGGGCCTTCATAAAACAATGAAAGCCCAAAGAAATGGTTAAACCTGCATGTTTTTATACTAGGTTTGATGAAGTATGGAAAGTCCTGGAAAAATACAGTAGGACAAACAGGGCATGAGCTAACCGCAAAACACTGGGGGAAACTTAGCAAGTCTTGCTCATTTGGATTTGGATCTCTATTGGCATCTTTCCATCTTTAGAGACTGGGTGCTCCTTTAGTCCACGTATAGGGAGGGAATCTCTTACATGAGGGTCCTATGACCCACATGAGGGGAGAAGGGAGAAAGAAGGAAAATCAAAGGCTCCTTTCTGCATCTGCCTTTTGTTTCTCAAATTCCTTCAGCTTAAAATCTTCAATATGCCAACATGCCACATTTTGGAATAGCATATCCTGAACCTCATCACACAATTGCCACTGGAAAAGATCTAAGATGACTTCATGTTTCAAAATTTAAAATTTCACAAGAATTTATAACAAAGGAGTGACAATAGACACAGCAAAGAGCAGATTAACAACCTGATTAACAATCAGAAATATATTATCCAGGCTGGGTACAGTGTCTTACACCTGTAATCCCAGCACTTTGAGAGGCTGAAGCAGGAAGATAGTTTGAAGTCAGGAGTTCAAGATCAGCCCAAGCAACATAGGGAAACCCTTTCTCTAAAAAAATTTAAACAACAAAAAGTTAGCAAGCTATGGTGACACATACCTACTTGGGAAACTGAGGCAGGAGAATTCCTTGAACCTAAGAGTTCAAATCTGTGGTGAGCTATGATGGCACCATTGTACTCCAACCTATGTGACAGAATCAGGCCTTCTCTCAAAAAAAAAAAGTATGAAATTTATACAATGGTACATCTAAAATTATTAGTCTAAGAAAGGAAATCTGTTTTACAGATAAAACAATAAAACAAAATGTAAGAAAAGGCAACTTGGAATAAAATTTCTTAAACTAAAAATTATTTTCTCACAATATGTAAGATGCCTTTTTAGTTTGTTGTTATTTTACCATGTTTACTTTGCTGTTAATTTGATGTAGTCTCACTTACTTATTTTTGCTTTTGTTGCCTGATTTTTTGGTAAAATATACAAAAATACCATTGCCATGGTCAATGATATTTAAGGAGATTTCCCCCTACGTTTTCTTCTAGTTTTATGATTTCAGGACTTACATCCAGGTATTTAATCCACTTAGTTGATCTTGTGATGTAGGATAAAGGTCCAATTTCATTCTTTTGTCTGTGGAGATCCAGTCCTCTCAATATCGTTTATTAAAGAGATTATCCTTCTCCATCGTATCTTCTATGTATCCTTGTTGAAAACTAGCTGACCATATATGCTTGAGTTTATTTCTGGTTTCTCTATTCTGTCCCATTGCTCTATGTAACTGTTTTTATGCCAACATTATGCCATTTTGATTACTATCGTTTTGTAATAAAATCTGAGATCAGGAAGTGTAATGCCCCCAACTGTGTTTTTCTTTTTCAAGATTTCTTTGGCTATTCAGAGTCATTTGTGGTTCTATATGAATTTTAGAATGCTTTCCTTATTCTGTGAAAAAAAATACCAATAGTTTAATATCCAAAATATACAAGAAACTCACGCAATTGAAGAGCCAAAGGGAAATAAATAGAAAAAGAAAAATATCACCTGAAAAAAATGAGCAAAGGACTTGAATAGACACCTCTCCAAAGAACACATAAAAATGGCTAACAGATAGATAAAATGTGCTCAATATCAATAATCATCAGGAAAATGTAAATCAAAACTACTGTGAGATATAGCCTCAAACCTGTTAGGGCGGCCATCATCAAAAAGCCAGGAGATAAATTTTGGCTAGGGTATGAAGAATAAGGAAACTTATACACTGTTAGTGGGAATGTAACTTAGTACAGCCATTAGGAGAAACAGGGTAAATGTTTATCAAAAAAATAAAACTTGGGGCTTCCATATAACCCAGCAATCTCTTTCTTGGTATATACCCCCAAAAATAATAAAATCAGCAGCAGAGTAGATCTATCTGTACTCTGGCATTCACTGCAGCATTATTCACAATAACCAAGATGTGGAATCTGAATGACTGTCAAGGGATGAATGGATGAATTATATATATATATATATATATATGTATAATTTTATGTTAAAAATGGAGATCTTTTTGTGAAAAGAAGGATATACCATGCCAATGGTTTGAGTGACCTCCTCCAAAACTCATGCTGAAGTGTAATTGTTGTTGTAATGGTACTGAGACACAGAGCCTTTATTAATTGATGAGGTCATGAGGATTCCACTCTCATGAATGAATTAATGCTGTTATGATAACTGGTTTAGTTACTACAAGAGTCATTTCTCACAAAAAGAATGACTTTGGTCCAATTTTCTCTCTGTCTTATGTGCTGACTTCTTGTTCTGCCGTAGGATAACACAGCATAGAGGTCCCCACCAGAAGCTGGCACCATGCTCTTGGAATTCCCAGCCTCCAAAACAATGAGCTAAATAAGGGTGTATTCTTTATAAATTATCCAGTCTGTGCTATTCTGTTACAGCAGCAGAAAACAGACTGAGGCAAACATGGAAGACATTATGCTAATTGATATAAGCCAGATACATAAAGAAAATGCTACATATTCTCACTTACATGTGGAATCTTTAAAAAATGAACATACAGAAACAGAGTAGAATGGTGGTTACCAGGAGTGGGGAGTGTGGTAATGAGATGCCCAAAGAATACAAAGTTGCAGTTATGTAGGATAGATAAATCTAAAAATCTAATTGCATAGCATGAGTACTATTGTTAATAATGTTCTTTTGTATACTGGAAATTTGCTGAGATTAGATTTTTGGTGCTTTTAACACACACGCAAAGGTAACTGTGAGGTGAGCGATATGTTAATTTGCTTGACTGCAGTAACTCTTTTACTATTTATATGTATATCAGATCATGTTGTATGCCATACGTACGTATATATAATAAAAAAACCCAGAATTTAAAAAATCATATTTGAAATACAAATGTATTTAAAATAAAAATGGGTAAATGTATAATAGCAGATGCTCTCATAGCCCATTGCCAGAAAATGTAGAATTAGTAAATTTCAAGGCAGAATTGAGTAAATTACCCAGCAGGTATTACATGAGATAAACAGGTAGATATGTGAAAGTGAAATTTGGAAGCAGAAGAATAAGAGTGCTATGGAATAAGAAATTTATAATAATCATGCCAGTTAGAATGGTGATCATTAAAAAATCAGGAGACAACAGATGCCAGGAGAGGACATGAAGAAATAGGAACGTTTTACACTATTGGTGGAGGTGTAAATTAGTTCAACCATTGTGGATGACAGTGTGGCAATTCCTCAAGGATCTAGGAATAGAAATACCATTTCACCCAGAAATCTTATTACTGGGTATATACCCAAAGGACTATAAAACATTCTATTATAAAGACACATGCACACATGTGTTTATTGTGGCACTGCTTACAACAGCAAAGACTTGGAACAAACCCAAATGCCCATCAACATTAGAATGGATAAAGAAAATGTGGCCCATATACATTATGGAATACTATGCAGCCATAAGAAAGGATGAGTTCACGTCCTTTGCAGGGACGTGGATGAAGCAGGAAATCATCATGCTCAGAAAACTGACACAAGAAGAGAAAACCAAACACCACATGTTTTCACTCATAAGTAGGTGTTGAATAATGAGAACACATGGACACAGGAAGAGGAACATCACACATCGGGGCCTGTTTGGGGGTGTGGGGGCTAGGGGAGGGATAGCAGGGGATGGAGGGATTGGGGCAGGATAACATTAGGAGAAATACCTAATATAGATGATGTAAGGGGGATGGATGCAGCAAACCAACATGGCACATATATACATTTGTAACAAACCTACACGATCTGTGCATGTACCCCAGAACTTAAAGTATTATTAAAAAAAGAAATTTATAATAATTTGACCTTATATAACTGTTGGGTAAGTTAGATCCATAGAGTCAGATGATCAAAGGATAGTCATTAAGAAGGAAGAACAAAGGGGAGCTGGTGAGAAAGTGTATGAGTCTGGTAGTGGCCTGATATTGCCATTTGTTAATAGATTACGTAGTTGATAAGAACAGCTGAACACGAATCAGGGAAAAGCAATGACAAATGGTTCTCACAGAGATAATCTGGAACCCAGAAGAAAAAACTGGAATTCAAGATGAAAAGCTAGAACCCATGAAAGCAAACAGAAATTCACATTTTTTTCTGACTGCATTTGATGTTGATAATACAGGTAACATGAATAAGAAATCAGTGCCTTTCACAATTTGCTTAGCCCCATTGACAAAGGAGATCTGGGAAAGGCCACAAAACAGAGCCTGAGTGCTGTATCACATCAAGGTGAAGCAAACAAACTCATCACCAATGCGGAGTTGACCCAGTAGTGCCTAACACTAGACACTAACCTGCTGCTTTACTTCTGCCTTCTGAATCTCCTAATTTTTTTTCTTGCAGCCAAAAGTAATATGAAACCATAAAGAGAAGTGAATTTTGGGAAAGGTAGTTCCAGCTTAGCTACTTTGACAAAGTACAAACCCATTGCAGCTGTCTTCTTTACAAGTTAACAAGTGTACACTACTCTTTAGGACGCATTTAATTTGCAAATCCATAGTTATAACTCCATCTATATAATAATTTCTCCTGTAGTTGAAAACAGCTCTTACCCTAATATAGAACGAAGTCTTATATGTCACTTTATTTATCTTTGAGTGATGATGGTCATTCCTCTCCCAGCTGATGCTCAATCTTTCTTTGATATCTTTTAAGGTAACCCTAATTAAATCATATATATGTGTTAACCCATATAAACACAATTAACACATACACAAATATCTTATTTTATATTTTATATAGAGAACATACACATATAATAGGACATATATATACAAATATGTATTTTATATTTTACATATATACATATATATTAAAATATACTCCTTTCAAAGAAGAGCATCATAACAAATGCAGCTTTTATTTCTGCAACTAAATACATGATAGTAGCAGATATTTAGAAATGTTCCCTTTCTTAACAATTCCTTATTCCTTTTGTCCTCAGCAAGCATCTCAAGCTGGTTATGGTTTCTTCCCTGGGGGTAACCCAGTAACCCAAAACTTCATGAAATGTCAAGGCCATTAACTAGCTTGCTTGTACTGGGTTGCTATAGTTTATTATCAATTTTTATCAAAGAACTATGAAGGTATTAAAAGGTATCCAGGATATTTTCTGACTTCCCAACCCATTTCCATACTCAAGCATGTTAGCAACATAACTTTTTTTTGATAGTGAGGATCAATCACCCCAGCCAGTATATTAAAGCCTTTTTTCCCTGATGTCCATTGGTCAGATTGCAGATTCATTATATTGCTGTGTCTTCTGGTAAAAAATATTTCTGTTTTGGAAACTAAGACTTCAAATTCAGCAAAGCGCACATGCACAAAAATGGAAGCAAACATATAAGAAGAGTCAGTAGTTTTCTACCACTTGATTCTGAGATGTATTTATGCTGGCTATGAGAGAAACAGCACTTTTAGTCATCACTGATTTAAATTATAAAACACATCCAGACAGATATAATCTTCATCCTTCAAGGTGTTGACAATAAGTTGGTGAATCTTCACATTTAATATTCCAAAGGCTATCTCACTGTTCTAATTGTTCAGGCACTTCAGACTAATGGAGAACATGATAAAAGCTTTGAATTATAAAATGATTTCATTGGTCAGAGGCAATGCTGTGTGCAACACCAAGACTATGAGCATGTCATTTACAGAATGACAAGTCCATCAATTTTGGCAGAAACATTGAGAGCAGAAAAGACAAATTTATGTACAGAAGAACTGATATCAAAAGGATGCTCCTTCCATGGCGAATGTGGTGCAATGTACCCAATCTGCCTCAAAGTGATGGGATGGTTGTCCTAGAGAATGGTGTCATGAAGGCTAGTGATGATCAACACTATTAAATATATTTATTAATATATATGTCAAGAAGCAGTTATTATAGTCAGATTTGCATTGGTGGGTGTAAATCCACTAGATTAGGAGACCTCACCCCAAAGTCAGAGAGTATAAGGATATTTGTTTCCCTTGTGAATACTCACCAAGGAGAAACCACTAGAGGAGAACCTTAATAATCACATGGATAAGATGATCATTCTGCAATATCAAAGAGTCCCTTTCTCAGTCACCCATGTCCTACCAATGGGCTCATAAACAAAGTGGTAATGGATTTCAGTGATGGAGACTATTCTGATATGAGGAGATAAAGATAGCATTTCATCTCAATGATATTCTTTCCCCAAATCCATAACCCCAGTATTGAGAAAACAACAAAATTTTAATTCATAGAGCATGAAAATATTTAAAAATATATACTAATGTACTTTTGATATGTATAAAATATGCATACAAATAACAAAATTTAGGATACTTTTTACCTATGGGGAGAATGGGAGCGAATGCTGTCTCTTGAATGTACTATAATATGAAGAAAATAATAATACATTAAGATTTTTAAAGGCAAATTTTTAAAGTTCTTTTTTTTTACTTTAAATACTTGGAGTTTTCAAAAAATAAAAAATTTCAGTAAAATTTCAGTAAAATATAAAAGGACAAATCCAAGAAGAAATCTGAACCAGTTTTGTCATTCATTAAAAAAATATTTAGTAACTTTGCTTGATTTTAGTATTATTTAAACTTACATACTGAACTTGATATTTAGAGGAAAATTAAGAATTTTTTTTGCCTAAGAAACAAAATATTTGTCATTAAAGACACATTAAAATTTGGGTTTTATCTGATTTTAGCCATTTTCCTACAAAATAGCATCATTCTTATCCAAGGACATGATTGGTTCCTTACTTTTTTTTTTTTTTTTTTTTGTGTCGAGACAGAGTTTCATTCTTTTTCCCAGGGTGGAGTGCACTGGCACGATCTCGGCTCACTGCAACCTCCGCCTCATAGGTTCAGGCAATTCTCCTGCCTCAGCCTCCTGAGTAGCTGGGGTTACAGGCACGCACCACCATGCCCAGCTAATTTTTTGTAGTTTTAGTAGAGACGGGGTTTCACCATTTTGACCAGGATGGTCTCGATCTCTTGACCTCGTGATCCACCCGCCTCTGCCTCCCAAAGTGCTAGGATTACAGGCGTGAGCCACCACGCCCGGCAGGTTCCTTACTTTTTTTTAAGTTTCGTTTTGTTTTTTACACATAATAATTGTAAATATTTACAGGATACAGTGCAATGCCTCATTTTAAATGGATTTTGTGATGCTCTATGTAGCACCAGTATATGCTGAGCCTGGTGTGGTGGGTCATGTCTGTAATCCCAGCACTCACAGAGGCAGAGGCTGGTAGATGGTTTGAGCCCAGGAGTTTGAGACCAGCCTGGGCAACATGGTGAACCACATATATATGTGTGTGTATTAATTCCAGAAAGTGAATTAAGAATATGAGAAAGGGTTTCTTGAACCTATGATAACCGTAATGAGGTTGTTCTTTAAGAACTGTGACAGATATGATATAGACACATGATACTGATTACTATATGTGGAAATACTCTCAGAGTGTTTCTTTTTAAATTTAATTAAACTATGCTTTCTTCACAGTAATTTCATGTAATTGACTATACATACACTTGAAAATGATGCCCTGTGTTTTCTGGCACCAACAGAAATTTATCAAAGGGTAAAGAGTTTTGAAGGGCCGTGCCTAAATGCCCTAGGTTTATTTCTGAATTTCAGTAATGGTGTTCGCTCCTTAAGTAAGCATAACACATTGCTGACTTTTGCACAAAGCACAGATGGTCAGTGCATAACAGGCACATTAAAAAATACTTGTTTTCTTAGTTTCCTACGCTTTCTCACTCTTGATGCATTTTTCTTATTTTTCTGCCAGCGATATTGTCGAATATTTTCTTTAATTAATTTCATAGCATTTTCCCCAAGTTACTCAGGTCATATATTTCAATCATATCTTCAGAGTTACTAAACTAGTTTTATTCAATTCAATTCACCATTTATAGTAATTAGTGGTTATAAAAAATAAAATGTGTATTTTTGTGCTCAATAAATTTATGACTCATTAGGAGAGAATAATACAACTGTGAAAAACTATTTTTTAATCATGTAACATTTTGTTAAGGGTACAGAAAATAAATATCCAGTCATTTATACTTCCCATCAATTTTATGATCTTTTATAATCAACGTTCTTCTAAAGACCACATTTTTCCACCATATGACAACAATGAGAAATTGACCAGATGGACAGGAAATGACAAGTACATTTTTCAAATATATTCCGGTTGGAGATAGGCAGGAAAAGATGAAGATGCAGTAAAGTTTTTAGGACTTCATAAGTCCATGGCAAACCAGGACAACCTATGTTAGCTAAAGAAAAAGTTGTTGCACCTTGCTTCCTCTACCATTAAGTCACTAAGTGGAATGGCATTTGGTAGACCTCTTTGTATTTTGGAGATAACATATACCATACTAGGAAAACTTCTCCAATCCATTATCAGGGAATTTGAAAGGTTGCCAATTTCAGGTAATAAATGGTGTGACTGGTTAATCAGAGGTTTAAAAAGAGCATAATAAAAAGATGAGAGATAAGAAATTCCAGAAAAAACAAACAAACAAAAAAAAACATGAGAATGAACCTATGGAAGTAGCAATTTATGTGTCTGACATTAATCCCACCAAAGAGTATCCAAAACATGAGAGGCCCAACACCAGGTAGATGGGATGACATCCTCTGTTTATCAGTGAGTCTCTCTCCTCAACAATCTTATCACATACACAGGAGAAAGATTCATAAATGGAATGACCACGGTGGCAGAGATGGAGGTCACACATGGGGTAAACAACACAGTAGATCAGGTATAGGTACTGCTGAATGCCTCACATGCTAGTAGCAGAGATTTACGCTTAGCCCCTGGTATAACAGAAATCTCTCAGGTCAGCCACTTAGTTGCAAGTTAATTATACTGAGATTTTCTATTCTGTACATTGTTGCTTTCATCAGATTTGGATAGTAATAATACCTATCTCATATAGTTGTCATAAGAATTAAATAAATTAGCAATTGAAAAATACTTAGAACAGTGCCTGGCACAGAATAAGCACTTTGTAAGTTATTAAAAATTAAAGAGGGGATGGAGATAAAATTTTAAAAGATTAGGCAAGGATGGCTTCAGATATGAGGCAGAATTGCTACATCCCCCCAAAAAGAATTTACAGTTTATTTGAGATGATGCAAAGGGCACAGAAAAAGTTGATTAGTGACTGCTTTATGTAGGTTCAAA